TTTCGTCAATTATCTATGACATGGTAGTTAAGTAATTCCAGAATGGCTTTTTCTTTTAATCCTTTTGATGACATGTCAATAACATGTATTTAAATTTGATTACGTGTACCAATAATGCCAAATAAGATTAGCATTCATATTTTTAATTAAAAGAAATAAAAAAAATGAAAAAGTTATCTTAGCATTCTGGTCTTCCTTTCGTGATCCATCTTCTTCCCTCTTTCTTCTTCTTTGCTCCAGTTAAGGTTGAACACAACCACTGGGTTCAACGAATCCCCACTTGCTGGGTTCCATCAAACCTAGCATATCTTATCAAATCAAACTAAATTCTTATTCACTTACTAATAAATAATGTCAATCAAATCCTAATCAAATTCCAACATAAAATGCAATCAAATTCCAACAAATCAACTCCCAAATTTTGAAAAAACCTACAAAGAATAGATACAACATGTAAATCAAGAATTGAGAATGGAAAGGGAAAGAAGAACTTAGATCTATTGCATTCCGTTGAACTTACTTGCTGGGTTTCATGGAAACTGATCTATTGGGTTTGAGGGAACCCAATAGCCGGGTTGGAGGAACACAGCACCTGGGTTCCATCAAACCCAGCACCTGGGTTTTGACCAATGTTTTTAAACTCGAATCGGAGGTCAAATCGTTTCGACCTTTGGTTCACAATTTGAACGGTTTAATTGGTAAAACCATTGGATTGATCAAAATACTTTAAATATATTATATTGCCATAAATTTCACATGGTGCCTGTTGGGTGCAGTGGTATGTGGTTGATCTATCATAAGAAAGATCACAAGTTTGAATCCCTTGATAACAAACTTTAATATGATTGTGCTTCTAAAACTAAAATAAATATATTGTAAAGCAAAAAATTGCAAATAGAAGGTTGTATCTCAAGTGGAAGAGTCTTTGTTCCATAACATGGAGAATGGGTGTTCGAATCCCATGGCTATCATCAATAATTTGGTTAAAAGCTTTGAGATTTCTATTAGATAAATAAAATTCCAAGCACTTATTGACATAAGGTGATGGGAATCAAGATGACCCCACATGTACCACGTCAAGAGATCCATTACACATTCCAGGAGGTCTAGTCACAAGAGTTAGATCTAGGAAGATGATGAGAACCCTAAAGAGAACAATGAGACCTGCAACATGACAAGGGATTTCTAAACTTCAGGAAAGCCAAATCAGGTTTATAGTAGCACCTTGATCCATTGTTTACGTCGCAACAAGAACCAAAGGTAAAGACCTTGACCCGTTGTCTATGACGCAACAAGAACCATAAGTATAAAGTTGGTTGACGCCACACCCTCAAACGATTAAGAACGAGAATGATAAGTCAAGTTAGAATGCCACAAGAATAATCTTGATAAGTTCTATAAAGTTCTGAAATGAACCAAAGAGAAAAGTCTCTCAAAAACTCAGATTCAATAGCTCCCCCCAATTAAGGTTACAAGCCCTTTAGCCACACCCTCAAACGATTAAGAACGAGAATGATAAGTCAGGTTAGAATGCCACAAGAATACTCTTGATAAGTTCTGTAAAGTTCTGAAATGAACCAAAGAGAAAAGTCTCTCAAAAACTCAGATTCAATAGCTCCCCCCAATTAAGGTTACAAGCCCTTTAAATAGGGAAAAGTAATTCTAATCAAAATAGGAAACTAACACCCTAAGCCCTAATCCTAATAACCACGAATTGGGCCTAAAATAAATGAATGTTCAGCCCAAAATAATACAAAAAACATGAAAATCACTTAAAGTAACCTAAAGTAACATGAAATATTAGTTTGCTACAAATTGTGACAGAATTACGGGATTTTGACGCAAACTGTGTAATTTAGCATAAATGACCTCAATTAAGTTTTCTCTTGAATATGAATGATGTTTACCATGACTTGATAATCATCCAAGCTTCGATTTACTTGTTGCATGTTGTTATCAACCGAGATATGCTCAATAAGGCCATTTAAAGCTTCTCGCATCTTCCTAGCTCTAGCTCTCGTGACTAGACCTCCTGGAATGTGTAATGGATCTCTTGACGTGGTACATATGGGGTCATCTTGATTCCCATCATAAGGATTGCATTGTTTTGGTGGCAATGGATCAGAGTAAGGACTCCAAGGTTGCAAGTTCAAACCCCATTGAAGATAAATTTCTAAAGACTTTATGCCCAAGCATTGAATCGTTTGGTCGAATAGTTTATCAGTTTGAGTGGCTTCAACGGTTCTTATTGGTTTCAAATGGTTTAATTGTTTAAATGGTTTGAAAGGTGCACCGAACCGTTTATACTATTAGTTACCGGTTCAACTGATCCAACCGACTGACCTAATTTTCAAAACTATGGTTCTGACAGAACCCAAAGCAATTGGGTTCCATCAAACCCAACAGCTAGATTCGATAGAGAGAGGAAGAAAAAGAGGAAAGAGGGGAAGAAGATGGATCATGAGTGGGAGATGAGTTTTTTCTTTTTTATTTTTATTTTTATTTTTTTATTAAAAATATAAATGTTTAATTGGCTTAACATTTTTATTTGTACACGTAATCAAATTATATGATATATTATTGCCATGTCATAAATTTTTTTTAAAAAAAATGTCATATTGGAATTATTTAATTGCCACATCATGGTTTACTGACGAAGGGACTAAAATTGTGCAACCGTTAGAGTTGAGAGATAAAAAAAGTGCAAAAAAAAAAAAATTTGAGGGACGAAAAAAGTACAAATTTTAAAGTTGAGAGACTAAAATTAGCATTTAACGTTTATAAATCTTCGGTTTATCACAATACCATAAGCTTAACCTTATCAAAGATTAACCTTACGGCCAATCCAAAACACAAACCATTTCAAATATAAAAGTAATTACGTTCACGTAACTACAATCTCAGCTCAAAATATTAAATAAAACTAATATGCTTGACTTGAAATTCATCTCATTTCAAAATAAAACACTTATAATATAATAATTTAATAGTGATTTATTTAAAGAAAAATTGAAACAACTAGGGTTGAAACCCAACATTGGCTAATAACTCTAGAGGTCAAAGTTCACAAGCCCTTAAAAGTTTACGTTGTTAGTAGTTGATAGTCTCCAGCCTTATATATTAAATTTACCCACAATTCCCTATCGATGTTGAAATTTGAGACAATCTTCCCCATTTAAAATTAGGTCCACTAGGGGCTCATAAGCCTAAGCACAATTAGAACTAAACTCATTGACCTAGGCTAAAACCCA